CAGACACTGCAATTACTCTTCCATGAGGAGGAATATGCATCTTTGCTTGCAAATATGTTTTCATGTTTTATAATACCTCACCAAAAGTTAGTCCCTGGAGTCTGCCATTAGGGGTATTCAGCCTTATTATTTAAAACATCATTCCTACTCTAGGATTTATTCAAGGGACTCTAGTAAGTTATTTTGCTGTTTTGTAGGGAATAACGGTTCCATTCCCTAGCCTACCTATGTTATTTAGTTGTTGTGAAGGTAGAATGAGATAATAGATAATAAACTGTACAGAGAGAGCCCTGGTGACAGTTAAAGTGCTCAGCTATTACCTGCAAGGTCAGCAGTTTGAACCCACCAGCTGCTCTGTGGAAGAAAGATGTGACAGTCTGCTTCTGTAAAGATTACAGCCTTAGAAACCCTATGAGGCAGTTCTGCTCTGTCCTGTAAGGTTGCTATGAATTGGTATTTTTGGATATTAAAATAAAGATATTTTGCATTTTAGTTAATCTGGGAGTGTAGTGCCTAAGGCATTTGACTGCTAACAAGAAGGCTGGTAGTTCAAACCCACTGGCCACTCCTCGGAAGGAAGATTGGGCAATCTACTTCTGTGATGATACACCTTGGAAACCCAAGGAAGGGTGGCTATGAGTCGAATTGACTCGATGGCAGTGAGTTTGGTTTTTTGGTTGGAAAAGTGTGGTAGGGAAGTTCTGAAAAGTTTGTAATAAGTAATGGCAAGTTGGATATTAATTGTACAGTATGAGACTTACATCTTTGGTTTCTGTTGATTTGTCATGCTGTCTTCCTTAGTTTATTTTAGTGGTCTTTAAGAGATACTTGTAAAACCTTCTTTGACTTGAGTTCCCTAGTCTTAAGTACATCATGTTATTCATTCATAAAATACATTTTTATTAGAACTTACTATTTAAAACAGAATAGTGAGCTCATGAGAGAGTAAAAACAAAACGATCCCTGCTCTCATGTAGCTTACATTTCACTTATATTTCATAAGTAATATAAATAAAGAATTGTCAATTCAGTTGGTAGTAGACAATGAGGAAAAATAAAGGGAAGGGAGGTTGCCATTTAAAATAAATAATTAGAGAAAGGCTCATTGCGAAGTGGCACTGGGCAAGCATCTGGGTAGATGTGCAAGGGAACTCTGTTGTTAGCCAGGGAAAGGGCATGCCAGCTAGTGCTAAGCCCTGATGTGGAAATGTGCAGCAACAACAGCAAGGAGGTCTGTATGATTAAAATCAAGTGGATATATGTGTTTTGGGGTGCCTTGCAGTCCATTCTGAGGATTTTACCTATACGTGAAATGGGAGGTCATTGAGGGTTTTGAGCAGAATTTTACCATCAGTTTTCAGAAACACATCCTTGGAAATGGAAGAGGAAATACTATATAAATAAAAAGTATTATTAGATATTGTTATCATTTACTAAAGTACATATTTTTATAATCAAAAATATATTTTAAGATATAGTGCTAATAAGTACTTACAGTTTTTTTCTCTTAATTTATTTTAAAAGATCCATCAGCACAGGGAGTTACATTTATATTTAAGAGTTAGCTAGTATAGCTTTTTAAAATGAAGGATAATCTATTTATGACATGATCTCTAAAAAAGTTAATTGTGGTGTCATAAGTAGGATTATATCACTCCTGGTAGGCTGGGGTAAAGGAGATGAATTCAAACATCTGACTCTTATTCCTTACATGAAAAACATTTACTTGAGTAGTAATGATTTAACATAATGGGTATTGAACAAGAAGTAAGAGCTTGATATTGTACAAGAAGTAGATGATCTTTCAGGTTAAGTATGGAATTATATACAATTTACAGTAAGTAATATTTTAAAAATTCCATTAATGTTGGTAGTAATTTTTTAAAGTTATATATTACCAAATTTTGGATGTAAGTATAGTGTTTAATTTATAGCTGAACCAGAATATCTCTGTACCGGTGATTGTTAATGGAAAGTATTTTCCTTTCCTGCTTCTTTTGAGTCTTCTCATGTCTCCATTCTCTGAATGAGTCAGCTATTTTGTTGCTTGGTTTTGTCCTGTTTTTTTCTCCTTTAAAAGTTTCCTACATATGCTATATATGAAATCGAGTATTAATCATCTTGGTTAGCTAAATTAAACTAGACCAGGTTGGAAGGATTACCAAAACAGTTGATTTGAGCAACTAACTACTTTGCTAATATCTCTCGTATCGGACAATTGATATGCCTTAATTTAAGTTGCAAAGCCCTCTTTAACATTTATTTTATTCTAACTATGATTTGATGGCACATAACAACAACACAACAACAACATATACCTTTTGCCCTGACCAGAATGTTTTGTTTGTATTCCCCCAAATAATGCTCAATAATATATCTCTGGTAGCATAATGCCTAAGGCACTTAACTGCTAACCAGAAGACTGGCGGTTCAAACCCACCAGCCACTCCTCAGAAGGAAGACTGGGCAATCTACTTCTGTAGTGATACTGCCTCGGAAACCCAAGGAGGGATCACTATGAGTCTGGTCCAACACGACGGCACATAACGACAACAATCTATAAATCTTAGTGCTATATAAAGCATAAATTATGTTCAAGGATTTTCTGTGTCTCCGTTTCTGCTCATGCCATTCACCTTCTATAAACTCCCTTCTTTCCTCTTCATGCTTACCTAAATGCTGCCTGTTTTTCAGTACCAAATTCATATTCATCCTTTTCAGTAAAGCCTAACCTGTCCACTTCAACCCAAAATGTTTTTTCTTCCCTTGAATTTTTATAAAAATATTTGTTAACCCAAACCAAAAACCTGTTGCTGTCTAGTTGATTCCAACTTACAGCAACCCTACAGGACAGAGTAGAACTGCCCCATAGGGTTTCCAAATCTGTAAATCTTTATAGATGCAGATTGCCGCATCTTCTCCCATGGAGTGGCTGGTGGATTTGAACTGCTAGCCTTTTAGTTTGCAGCTGAACACTTAACTGCTGCACCATCAGGGGTTCTCTAGTCATTAGCACTTGACCATAAACTTTTGTGTGTGTGTGTGTGTGATTTGGGTGAAAATTTACAGAGCACATTCACTTTCCATATAGCAGTTCACATATACTTTGTCATATGACACTGACTACAATTTACCATAATGCAACAGCTCCCCTCCCACTTCCTCCCAATAGTTACCTCTTCCCTGTGTTCATCCCTCCATGTACTCCTGCCCCCTGAGCTGTCTCCCTGTGCGTAAAACAGCCCTTCTTTCTCCCATAATTGTTCTTTCCAAGGAGTGTATCTACCTCGGGTAAATGTTCAACTCATATGCCTGTCCTTTGTTTGGCTGGAAGTCACAGGTGTGGGTTCAATTCCAGACCTGAAGGATAGTTAGGGGCCATAGTCTCAGTGGTTCTACTAGGCTCTATCAGACTAGCATACCTTAAACTTTTATTGATAACTTTGAATTATTATTTGCCCTTTTTTTAGTTCTGCTTTTTATTTATGTGCCTTACCTTACCACCTATGACATTTTTATCCAAATAATGCACATAATAAGATTTTTTTTTTTTTTTGCAAACCATGCAACCCCTTCGCATTTTAGTTTCCTATGGTGATACTGCCTCGGAAACAAGGAGGGGTCGCTATGAGTCGGGGCTGACTCGACGACAAATAACAACAACAACAACAACAAATGCATGCTGTGCATACATGAGCACTTTATTTGTGAAAAAGTATGGTAGTTGATAAATACATTGCAGGCATGGATCACAAATCACATTTGCCTATTTAAAATCCTTAAGCCCTTCCATTCTGACTTGTATGTATGATGTACATCTGTATACCTTATAAAACTATGGAATTTTTTTGGCACTGGAAAGGCCCTTTGAGTTTATCTTGTTTTAGATTTGGGTTATCAGGAACAACTATAAAATGGCAAAAAATAGTTAATGTCTCTTTCCTTGGTTGTTGTTAGAATAAAGTGAAATAATGTAATGGAAGTGGAATCATTTCACATAATGCTTGTCATATAGTTGTAACCTTTTTCATGCTAGAAAAGTTAAGTGATTAATTAATTTAAAAATTTTTTATTTTTTGCTTAGGAGCTAGAATCAAAGTAGTTTTCAAAGTTCTTTAATGTGATAAATTAGAAAATATTCCTGGGTAGAGAGTTCACTTCTTCCTCATTTTCTCCCATTCTCTCTCTTTCCTTTTCTTGCTCTTAATTTAAAGATGTATGTGACACATCAGTCAGTTATTTCTATTCACAGGTGTTATACCAGAGTGAAAACAGATTTGAGGTTATGTCATTATTTCTTTGAAGGATATTATTTAGCATTAAATTGCTGATTCACGTACCAAAAAAAAAAAACACCTCACTGCCATCAAGTAGATTCCGACTCATAGCAACCCCCTTTGGGTTTCCGAGGTGGTAAATCTTTACGGAAGTAGATTGCCAGTCTTCGTTTCGTGGAGTGGTGGGTGAGTTTGAACTACCAGCCTTCTGGTTAGCAATCAAATGCCTTAGGCACTATGCCACCAGAGCTCCTTGCTGATTCACATAGGAAGTTCCAATTAGGTATTCAGACATAAGACATCATGACCAAGTGGCAGTTATGTTTTGCACATGACTACTATCGAAGCTCTAGGTTAAAAGATACAAAAACTGGAATTATGGTATCTAAACACTAGAGTAAGAAGCCCTGGTGGTGTAATAGTGAAGTGCTTGGCTGCTAACTGATAGGTTAGCAGTTCAGACCCACCCAGCAGCTCCGCTAGAGAAAGACCTGGTTATCCGCTCCTCTAAAGATGACAGCCTAGAAAACCCTGTAGGGCAGTTCTGCTCTGTCACGTGGAGTTGGTATGAGTTGAAATCCACTCGAAGGCACCTAAAACCAATAATAAACACTGGAGTACTTTGATTTGGACTTAAGTATTCTTCTTTAGAAGTTTTCAGTGATGAGAAATGAAATTGATTCTTCTCAAATGCTTTCATTTAATTTTATTTTTTCTTCCTAGATTTTGTCATAAGTGTATCTTAAGCCTTCAGGATGGTACTAGCAGACCTTGGAAGAAAAATAACATCAGCATTACGCTCCTTGAGCAATGCCACCATTATCAATGAGGAGGTATGTGAAATATATGGGATATAAGTCGTCACTGGCATCAGGGAAGATAGATTGTTGGTAAACCCTAGTTTATATTTATTTTGATGTAGATTTAATACCTGTAGGTAAAAACCTATAGGAGAGGATGTTTCTTTATTGGTAAATCAGCTTACTAATTGATTTTATTAACTTCAACTTTCTATAAAGAACTCTCTCCAAAAAGTATACCCTTAACTTACATATAAAAGTAACATGTATTTTATCTTTTGGAAATGACTTACATCTAGAAATATACTTTGGCTTTTTCTCTTGACATGGACCTAACCTTCAGTATCCTGTTTTCTTCTTGGCTAGATAAATACTTCTCTGCTTAACTGACCCCTTCTCCTTGAGTTTTATTTAGCATTCTTCTTATAAAAGGCTATTATTTGCATCTAACTTCTGTGATTTATATTTTCTGAAATCCCACTCAGTTGTTTGGAGATTTTGAAAGCTAACTTCTTACGTGGTATCTGAAATACTCTTCTTCCTGGCTTTATTATTTTAATTTAAGACACTTCTTTCTCCCATTTTCCCCCACAGATAATATCTTTTTTTTTTTTTTAATTTTGATTTGGGTAAAAACTTACAGAGCAAATTCACCTTCCGTACAGCAGTTCACATACACTTTGTCTCATGACATTGACTACAATTTATCACAATGCAACAGCTCCCCTCCCACTTCGTCCCTGTAGTTATCTCTTCACAGATAATACCTTAATGCTTTGTTAATTTTAAAAAACTGAGTATAATCCACAAGTTTATTTTGCATTTGTGGTACTAATGAGAAAAAGTGCTGAGTCTGGTGTTAGAAGACTTTGGTTAGTGTCTGTTTTGAACCATCTACTAGCTGGGTGATAGAACTTTGGACAAGTCAACCTCATATTCCTTAATGTATAAAAAGGTAAGATAACATTTACCTTACATGATGGTTTAAGAATCAAAGGAAATAATAGATTAAAAGTGCTTTCTAGCTTGCAGGTTTGGAGAAAATATGGTAATACAGAATTTTATAGCACATTTTAATAAAGTAATGGAATTAAATAACATTGAGACCATCTTTGAGATTACCTGGTTCAGCATCTTATTTACAGAATGTAAGTCTCACATGTTTATTTATTGAAGAACCGGTAATGGAATCCTTTTCTCCTAACTCCTCATCTAGGATTTTTTCTAAAAGTTTTATTATTAAGTAATGAATCATAACTTAAAGTGTTGTTTAGTCTTTGGAATACAGAATAAACAAAAAAACAGATTTCTGGAAAAAATTTTCCTGGTGTAGCCTTTATGCTTTTGTGTTTATAACAGAGAAAAAAGAAACAAGGGGAGAAATACTTGGTGTGACATAGTATAAGAGCTGTTGCTTGAATTGGCAGCTTCTTTGTTTTTGGTACTGTGCTGCTAGAGAATTAACAAGGATAAATCCCTCTGTAGAGAGATCAGTTCTAGTCTTGTCAAACTCTTTTAATGAGGGATAGGGAAACATGACAAGTTTTTGTAGGGCATATGAAGTGAGTTGAGGAAGAGAATTCATTCAAGAAGTATTTGAGGACCTACTTTTTTTTTTACTTTCTTCTTTTTTTAAAATTAATTAATTAATTAATTTTTATTGTGATTTGGGTGAAAATTTACAGAGCAAATTCACTTTCCATACAGCAGTTCACATATACTTTGTCTCATGACGTTGACCACAATTAACCACAATGCAACAGCTCCCCTCCCACTTCCTCCCAATAATTTCCTCGTCCCTGTGTCCATCCCTCCATGCCCTCCTGCCCCCTGAGCTGTCTCCTGGTGCATAAGCAGCCCTTATTTCTCCCATGATTGTTTTCTCCAAGGAGTGTATCTGCCTCAGGTAAATGTTCAACTCATATGCCTGTCTTTTGTTTGGCTGGAAGCCACAGGTGTGAGTTCAATTCCAGACCTCAAGGGCAGCTAGGGGCCATAGTCTCAGTGGTTCCACCAGGTTCTATCGCACCAGTAAATCTGGCCTCCCCCCCCCCTTTTTTTCTTTTTACCATGTAATTTTGAGTTTTGTCCACATTGTTCTCCTTCTCTATCCAGGATCTCCTACATAGATCCTCTTCCAAGTGTTTGACATTGGTAGCCAGGCACCAGCTAGTTCTTCTGGTCTCATAGTCATATAGGCTGCAGATTGGATGGTGTACCAGTCGCTAGGACTGATTGTAACCATGAATTTTGGTTTTCTTCTTTCTTCTTTGCTCTGGATGAGGAGAGACCCATCCTTGCATTTAGATGGCCGCTTGCAAGCTTTTAAGATCCCAGTCACTACTCACCAAAGCAGGAGGTGGAACAATGTTTTGTGTAGTATGTTATGCCAGTTGAGCTTGATGTCCTCTGCGACTATGAGGACTTACGTTTTTGCTGGCATCCAGGATATAGCAATGAACAAAATAGGCTAAAATTCCTGCCCTTATGGAACTTACATTCTAATGTGTAAACATTTATGTACTCGAGTGGCTAATGCTTCTTTTCTTAAGGCCTAGTTTCTGACCTTTTAACTAAAGTGCCTTGCAACTCAACAAATGTGTGATGATAGTGAGCTATTAGTGAAGTATGGTTTCCTCCCCAACTTTGTTCCTCTGCTCTGAGTGGAAATGGTAAGGCTGCTAGGTGGGACTGGGTGAACTTCTGTTATATTTTGCTCCATGGTAGTTTAGTTAAGAAAACCAGATATGATATGCACGCAGTGGTGGTTATGTTTGTATGTCAACTTGGGTGGGCCTGGTTGAGTGGCTGGGGAGCTGGTGGTAGTTATTCCCCATGATAAGACTGGCAATCAACTCCATGGTGGGACCTACCACAAACAGCTGAGTAGCTCCCTTTGGGATGTGGTCTGCTTACTGTATATAAGGAGAAACCTTGGAGATAGTCTCGAACTTATGGCACCTTGAACCCTGCATGGAGCTGGAGACAGAGCTGAAGCCCAAGGTTGAGGGGCTTTCACCCAGCCCCTGGGTGAAAAGTGCCAAAGAGCCTGGCACTTTGAACTCAGACTTAGAGCCTCTAAACTGTAAAAGAATAAACTTGTGTTTGTTAAGGCCATCCCATTTGTGGTATATTCTTGTCATAGTGGCACTAGGTAACCAGACCACACACCTGTGGTTCAGCAACAATAACTGTTTGGTGATATGGAAAATTTCAATGGCAACGTTTATTGTGTAGTAACTTTCTTTGGCTTGGAAATTATCTTTATTAATTATATTTTAATATAGGAGTGATGTGATAGTAGTTAATACTTGATTGAGTAAGCTAAATAGGATGTGTTATCTTGACAAAATGGCTGAACATTTAATGAGATTATCTCCCTAAAGCTAACTGAAAAACATTTTTTTCAACAATGTTGTATTGTTTTCTTTTAAGCTATAGTAGTATATGTTGACTGATCAGTGTTTTTTATGTGATTGAAATGATACACTGAATATTTTTCATTTTTATTTATTTGCAGGTATTAAATGCTATGCTAAAAGAAGTATGTACAGCATTATTGGAAGCAGATGTTAATATTAAATTGGTGAAGCAACTAAGAGAGAATGTTAAGTAAGTTAAATTAATTGGATTTTTAAAAAACAGGCAAAACTAAGTTTAGTCAACTGGAGCAAGGAGCAAACTAGAAAAGTTTGCTATATCATGAAACATTTCTGTGGTACAGTACTGGAAAAGAATAGAACTCATATGTTGGAAGACTGCATATATGGTATTTCTGTAATGCTGGCTCAAAGAATAAACTACATGTGACTTTCATTTAGTTACGGATTTTTTTTTCCATTTTACTATTTTATTTGAATGGGTTCATATACTGCGTGCTATTTTAATATAAAAAAAAAGCCTTTTACCAATTCAGATTCTTCATAGAGAAGTGGTACCATTTTATCCTCTTCAGGCTCCAGATGACATTAATCAGCCTCCTTCATTGTTAGAGAATTGCATCCTTCTTTGTTTTCCTTTCAGTTTCTTACTATATATTCTGAAGGAATATCATAATGCATATATAGCTCTGGTGGTATAGTGCCTAAGGCATTTGACTGTTAACCAGAAGGCTGGTGATTCAAACCCACCAGCCACTCCTTGGAAGGAAGGTTGGGCAATCTAATTCCGTAGTGATGCCACCTCAGAAACTCAGGGATGGGGTTGCTATGAGTTGGAGCTGAGTTTTGTTTTATTTTATTTTTAAATGTGTGGTCTTAGTCTGTATTCATTGGGAGAGGCAGTGACTGGGTCAAGACACAGAACGATAATGATACCTTACTTAAGTGCTTGAATTCCAACTCTTGTCATACTTGGCCGTTCCTCCTTTTTGTATCATTTGAGTGGGTAGTGAGTATTGAACTATTAAACATTTAAGTGTTTAGAACTAGAAAAAGTAGTCTTATTTTCTGTTACTTATAAAGATGTATAGAAAACAAATTTAGTACTTTGCAGTGATATGAGGACAAATTAATATTTAGACTTTAAAATAAAATATGTGAAAAACTAACCTAAGTCTTATATCTAATATTTCATTATAAAATTTTTTATGACTTAGGAATCTGTAGCAGTTATATACATGTCAGTTGGAAATTAATGTGAATGGTAGATTATTATTACTTTTTTGGATTCAGAAACTATGTTTTTAGAGTGTCTTAACTGACTTTTCTTTCTCTTATCCCCAAACACTACCACCATGAAGGTCTGCTATTGATCTTGAAGAAATGGCATCTGGTCTTAACAAAAGAAAAATGATTCAGCATGCTGTATTTAAAGAACTTGTGAAGGTAAGAGTATGTCATGTTTGTTGGGACCATAGTCTCGGGGGATGTCATGCTCAGTTGGTACAACATAGTACATAAAAATCTTGTTCTACAACTTACTTTGATGAGTAACAACTGGATTCTTAAAAGCTTTTGAGTAGCCATCTAAGATGCAACTATTGGTCTCCTTTCATCTGAAGCAAAGAAGAGTCAAGAAAATCAAAGGCATCTTGAAACAATTAGTCCAAGGATAAGATGGACCACAAGGACCTCAACCTTCATGACCCCAAGACCAGAAGAACTAGATGGTGCCCAGCTACCAATGCCAACCACTTAGAAAATGATTGAAACTGGAGATGCTGCATAGAGTGAGAGGAAAGATTTGGAACAAAATTAAAAATTTGTTTTTTTTAAACATTTGAAAAATGACCAGAATTACCCGTCGGGTAGAGAGACTGGTGGAACCTGTGAGACTCTGGCCCCGGATTTTACTTTGGGCCTAGAAGTGGACTCACTTTCAAGTATTGGCTCTCAGCCCAATAGTAGAAAGACCTACATGCAGAATACCTACCCCAAGGTGAAGCACGCACCTACTCTAGGGAGATGCACCCCTTATCAATCAGCCATGAGACACCAGAGGGGCAGCATTCATTTAGAGGGAAAGATGGACAGACAGGATTGCATAGTTATGAAGGGCACATGGAGGGGGTAGTCACATGGAGGGGAGGGGAGGAGAGTTTTTTATCCTTGGGGATGGTAATTGGGGCCGTGAAATCAAATGTGCATGAACTGTTGAATGTAAAACAAATTAGCTTTGTAAATTTGTACCCAAAGCATGCACACACACACAAAAGTATATCATGTTTATGCTATGATTCTTTCTAGACTTGGTGGGTAAAAATAAACTAGCAGTACAAATGGTACTGTTTCAGAGTACTACTTTATGTGCTTGCATGGAATATTTACCTGTATTAAAATATTAATTGAGTTATAACTATTTTCTAAAGTAATCTATTTTTATGGTTAGTTTTCTGAACACAAAATTCTGAGTAGAGGTTTGAAGCCCAGTACTATTCCTGCTAAGGAGCCTTGGTAGTACAGTAGTTAAACACTTGACTGCTAACCAAAAGGTTGGTGGTTGAAACCTACTAACTCTACAGGGGCTCCTCAGGGCAAAAGACATGGAGATGTGCTTCTGTAAAGATGACAGCCTAGGAAACGCTATGAGGCAGTCCTGCACTGTCATATGGGACCTATGAGTCATGGAAACAGCAGTCAAGAAGTCAAACAACGTATTGCATTGGGTACATCTACTGCTCTGGTAGCATAGTGCCTAAGGCACTTGACTGCTAATCAGAAGGCTGGCGCTTCAAACCCACCAGCCACTCCTCGGAAGGAAGATGGGGCAATCTACTTCTGTAGTGATACTGCCTTGGAAACCCAAGGAGGGGTCGCTATGAGTCGGGTCCGACTCAGCGGCACATAACAAAAACAACAACACTGCAAAAGACCTCTTGAAAGTGTTAAAAAGCAAAGCTGTTCCTGTGAGGTCTGAGGTGCACATGACCCAAACCATGGTATTTTTAATTGCCTCATGTGCATGTGAAAGCTAGACAGTAAATAAGAAGACTGAGGAAGAATTGATGCCTTTGAATTATGGTGTTTGTGAAGAATACAGACTATATCATGGACTGCCAGAAGAACAGACAAATCTGTCTTGGAGGATATACAGCCAGAAAGCTCCTTAGAAATGAGGATGGTGAGACTTCATCTCATACACTTTGAACATGTTATCAGGATGGACCAGTCCCTGAAGGACACAATGCTTGGTAAAGCAGAGGATTGGTGAAAAAGATGAAGACCTTCAACAAGATGGATTGACACAGTGGCTGCAACAAAAGGGTGAAACATAGCAATGATTGTGAGGATGGTATAGGACTGGGCAGTGTTTCATTCATTTGTACATGGGGTCACTGTGAGTTGGAACCAACTTGACAGCACCTAAAAACAACGTGAATCAGAATCGATTCAGTGGCATGCAACAACAGCTCTTCCTGCAAAGAATGCCAAACCAAGTTGCAAAGAGAAAAACTTCACTAAATTCATAGGAATTGATGGAAGGGCCTCCATCAAAAAGTTTATCTTCTTTTTAATATCAGGTAATGACAACTGAGTGTGAATGGTACAAATGGTTAACGCGCTTAGCTGCTAACTAAAAGGTTTGAGGTTGCAGTCCACCCAGAGGTGCCTGAGAAGAAAGACCTAGTGATCTACAATTGAAAACCATATGGAACATAGTTCTGTTCTGACACATATGGAATCACCATGAGTTAGAATGAACTTGAAGGCAACTGGTTTTTTTTTTTTTTGGTTTATTACCTAGTGAAGGTTATACTCTTGTACAGAAAGCCACATATGGCAAATATTCTTTTCTACACTGTTCAGTGTAGAAGGAATTGACTCTGAAAAGACCAAATATAATTGTTGCCTAGATTATGAGCAGTTTTGAACTGTTGTCGTTATGTGCCGTTGAGTCGTCTCTGACTCATAGTGACCTTATTTACAACAGAATGAAACATCTCCTGGTCCTGCACCAGCCTCATGATCCCTACTATACCATCTCTACAGCTACTGTGTCAATCCATCTTGTTGAGGGTCTTCCCCTCTTTCATTGACTCTCCACTTTATCAAGCATGACATCTTTCTACAGACAGTGGTCCCTTCTGACAATATGACCAAAGTCAGAGATGAAGTCTGGCTATTCTCACTACCAAGGAGAATTCCAGCTGCACTTCCTCCAGGAGAGATGTGTTCTTTTAGCAGTCCATGGTACTTCCAGCTTTCTTCACCAGTACCAAAACTCAAAAGCATCAACTCTTCTTCAGTCTTCCTTATTCATTGTTCACCTCTCACATGCATATGAGGTGATCGAAAATACCACGGCTTGGGTCAGGCGCATCTTAGTCTTCAAGGAGGTATCTTTGCTCTTCAGCACTGGAAAGAGGTCTTTTTTCAACAAATTTGCCCAATGCAATACATTGTCTGATTTCTTGACTGCTGCTTCCATTGGTGTTGATTGTAGAACCAACTAATATGAAGTCTTTGACAACTTCAGTCTTTTCTACATTTATTATGATGCTACTTATTGGTCCAGTTGTGAGGATTTTTGTTTTCTTTATATTGAGATGTAATCCATACTGCAGACTGTAGTCTTTAATCTTCATCAGTAAGTGCTCCAAGTCATCCTCACTTTCAGCAAGCAAAGTTGTGTCATCGGCATATCTCAGGTTGTTAATGAGCCTTCTTGCAATCCTGATGCCACATTCTTCATATAATCCAGCTTCTCGGATTATTTTCTCAGCATACAAATTGAATAAGTATGCTGAAAGGATACAATCTTGATGCACTTCATTCCTGATTTTAAACCATGCAATATCCCCTTATTCTGTGTGAACAACAGCCTCCTGGTTTATGTACAGGTTCTGTATGAGTACAATTAAGTGTTCTGGAATTCCCATTCTTCTCAGTGTTATACACAGTTTGTTATTATCCATACAGTTGGATGCCTTTGTATAGTCAATAAAACACAAGTGACCATCTTTCTGGTATTCTTTGCTTTGAGCCGAGACCCATCTGACATCAGCAATGATATCCCTCATTCCACATCCCCTTCTGAGTCCAGCTTGCATTTCTGGAAGTTCTCTGTCAATATACTACTGCAGTGTTTTTTTTCTTTTTTTCCTTCCCCCAAATTTTATTTATTTATTTTTTGCAGTGTTCCCTCCCCTCCCCACACCCCAGGTAACCAGCAAAGAAAATTTCCTTCCATATATAAACCTTTCCTTGACTTTTTACAATAATGAACTAATACTATATTTGTCCTTCTGTAATTATTTCACTCAGAGTAATGTCCTCGAAGTTCATCCATGTTATGTGGTGGTTTGCAGATGCTACATTATTATTTTTTTCTTCTTTCTTTTTTTTTTTTTTTTAATTGTGATTTGGGTGAAAATTTACAGAGCAAATTCACTTTCCATACAGCAGGTCACATACACTTTGTCTCATGACATTGACTACAATTTACCACAATGCAACAGCTCCCCTCTCACTTCCTCCTTATAGTTACCTCTTCCCTGTGTCCATTCCTCCATGCATTCCTGCCCCCTGAGCTGTCTCCCTGTGCATAAAAAGCCCTTCTTTCTCCCATGATTATTCTCTCCAAGGTGTATATCTACCTTGGATAAATGTTCAACTCCTATGCTTGTCTTTCGTTTGGCTGGAAGCCACAGGTGTGGGTTCAATTCCACACCTGAAGGACAGTTAGGGGCCATAGTCTTAGTGGTTCCACCAGGCTCTATCAGACCAGAAGACCTGGTTCCTTTTTGTTCCTACCCCCCCCCCAATGATTTTGAGTTTTTTCCACATCATTCTCCCTCTTTATCCAGGATCTCCTACATAGATCCCCCTCTGAATGGTTGACAGTGGTAGCTGGGCACCATCAGTTATCTTGGTCTCATAGTTGTATAGGCTGCGGATCACATGGTGTACCAGTTGCTCAGACTAATTGTTTCCCTGAATCTTTGGTTTTCTTCATTTTTGCTCTGGATGAGAAGAGACCCATCATTGCATTTAGATGGCTGCTTGCAAGCTTTTAAGATCCCAGTAGCTGCTTACCAAAGTAGAAGGTGGAACAATGTTTTGTGTAGTATGTTATGCCATTTGAGCTTGATGTTCCCTGTGACTATGATCCCAAGCCCACAGGCTCAGCTGCTCAGTACCTCTGGGCTGCTGGTTGTGACCAAGAAGTGACTACAACCTTGTCCCTTGTCAGCACTACATTATTCTTTAGTGTTGCGTAATATTCCACTGTATGTATATACCATAGTTTGGTTATCCATTCTTCTGTTGATGGGCACCTAGGTTGTTCCATCTTTTTGCTGTTGTAAATAGTGCTGCGATGAACATAGGTGTGCATATATCTGCTCTTGTCTCAGCTCTCACTTCTTTAGGATATGTACCTAGTA